TGTGTATGCGTGTATTGCCTGCATGTAGGTAAGTACACCCATGTCTTGCAATGCCTGCAGAGGTCAGAAGAGGCTGTCATATGCCCTGGGACTGGAGTTATAGACAGTTGTTAGCTTCCATGTGGGTGCTGGGATTTGAACCCAGGTCTTCTGCAAGAACAACCAGTGTTCTCAACTGCTGAGCCATTTCTCCAGCCACTATTTTTTCTTTTAAAAAATAATTTTATAGCTGAGCATGGTGGCACATACCTTTAATACCAGCACTCAAAAGGCAGAGGCAGGTGGATCTCTGTGAGATTGAAGCCAGCCTGGTCTACATGGTGAGTTCCAGGCTAGCTGGGGTATAGGGAGATCCTAACAAATAAATAAATAAGTAAATAAATAAAATCTAAAAGAAGTATAGCATAAAACCTTTAAAGTTTCCCTCATTAATTTATTACATTATTATCTTATGTGTGTAATCCATGTTCTTTTAATAAGATGGTGCTGTACAGCAGTCTCTTCTGCATCAAATAACTACCATCATCACGACTTCTGCTGTGTCTGCTTGCTAAACATCATCACAATTGATGGTTGCACTCCTTCATTAAAGAAGGGGTAAGCAGGGTCATTGGACCCTCACTGGATTATCCAGGCACTCTTCCCAGCCAACTGTATGTAATTTGGCCCTAATCACACATGGTCTCCTGGATTTGGGGAGGACTAAAGTATATAATCTGGAGAAGGCTAGGAAAAGAAGGCTTGACCCATGCTGGGTAAAGGCTTTCCAGTGTGCATACCCTCAGGTCACTCATATACCTCAGCAACCCCTCAGTCATCTCTGTTCTCTGTAACAGTAAATTCATCGGTTTCCCAGGAAAACTTTAATCAAACATTGGTTTGACACTAGAACCTTATATAAACATTACTTAGTATCCCAGGAAAAGAATGCTCACAACTGATGGAAAATTTATTTGTTAATGTTATTATGTCTCATAATTATTAAAAAAGAAAATGAGAATGTAAGAGATGGTAAAAGGATATGGGAATGGAGACATTTTCCAAAATAGACAGAAGAAATGAGAAAGCCTAAGCAAGTGATGAAGGTCTGTTTAGGTTTATGATATACAAAGGATGAAATAAAAATAATATTCACTTAATCTTAAATTTTCTATGGTCATAGTTTAGTCAACTAGTTTAAGGAACAAGCAACTATTTTAAGGAACAAAATATATGTCTAGAAAAGGTTTATCTAAGAGTGTTTGGTTTTTGTCCAAGCTTTATCTATATACATATGGCAATTAAAAGTACCAGACTGGTGGAACTAACCTTCTTGGATGTTCCTTATCAACATAGCACATAATAATCATAAGTACCAGACTGGTGGAACTAACCCTACTGGATGTTTAACAGCCATAGTTTGAGACCTATACTAATGTGGTCAGAGGGACTTAAAGGACAGATTTTGCTCCTTACCCTCCAAGGTCAACTAAGTTTCGGGGGCCTATGGAATATTTCTCATAATGTCCTGTAACTGTGGTGAATCACCTGTCCTCTTGTTCAGGGAGGACATGGAGACCCGACAAGATGAACTTGAACCAGTGCCCAGTCTACAAAGAGGAGGGTCAACACAGAGGAAACATTTCCTCCATGCTTCCAAGTGAAGCCAACCATGGTCAAGCAGGACCTTTGACTTATCATCACACAGATGGAACTCATAAAAGAAAGGAGCCAGGGGCTCCTCCCAAGCCCATGTGACCCCATGAGAAACAGATCCTCAAACGACCTTAAGAGTAAAAATAAATTGGTTTATTTGGGCAAAGAATATGGTCTTAAACACCGAAAAGGAAAGCATAATCAAATATTAAAGTGATCAGTATATTTCTTTAAGAGTTCAAGGGATTACACTTCCTGGAAATTATGCTTTAGTCCATATAAAATGTTATCTAGAAAATTCTCATTGATGATTTTGTTTCTAATAAGAAAGTGCTGCTCAGATGGAAGACTTCAAATCTTGGTCTGCATTACTGTCATGCCCACGTGTAGCTAAGGGAGACAACCAGCTATTGTTCTAAAATGAGGGATAAATTTGTTTTCTCCCCCTATCTAGAAGCCTTTGAGAAGGAACTGACACTGATTCTAGCCACTGCAAACAGCTATCAAAGTGCCTGAAAACAAATCCTGAGTTCCTCATTCTTGAGTTCAGCCTTGGCAGACAAAAGAAAAATGAGGAGGAACCCAATTGAGGGATGCTTTTGGAAGCTCTCGTTAAGAAATTCCAATGGACTCTGATATGAACATTTGAAATTTGCCCTGTTCTGACTTCTTCTAGTTTCCTGTCTAGAACTCATAATGCTAACTTGCCTTTACTTCTCTTTCACATCTCCTATTCACCAGTCAAGGACTTTCTTTTCCCCCTACAGGTAAGAGTTATGCAATTTGGGAGTCCTTGGCTTCTATCTGTGCTCCCAAACACTGTTGATTATGTCAATCCATCTTACTGTATTAAAGAATTTAGAAATTCCAAATGAAATTAAAAAATATATTAATTTTGCAGCAACTTTAAATGTTTTTTTTTTTGTAAGTGAATAACATATAGTGTCTTATTTTAAGAGACAAAATGACCCACAGTAACAGTATGTGAAGGTACTTTACAGACAAAGATAGACTGGTACCATCCTTTGAAATATTCTGGAAAAAAATTCATTTTGTACCCTTTGTATGTTCAGAATGTAACATTAGCAGAAACCCTAAAAAAAAATAATAACTTGCATGAGGAGGGATACTTTATTCACTATGAAAGTTTTATCAGAAGAAAAAGAATATATTTGTTGAGCATCTACTATATGAAACTGTTATGTACATGATTCAAATTAGCATATTAAATTATATGGACTCTATGGTAATTATTTTGTTCAATATCAAAACTTATAACTCGTGCAATATACTGGTACATTTGTAATCAGACTTCTATCTGTGCTCCCAAACACTGTTGATTATGTCAAACCATCTTACTCTATTAAAGAATTTAGACATTCCAAATGTAATTAAAAATATATTAAAAGACCTATGTAAAAAAATAAAAATTTATTCACTTACAAAAAAAACCCTTTAAAGTTGCTACAAAATTTATACTTCTAAGGCAAACTTTTTGCAAAGAATTTCTGAACAATGAATGATAATATTCTGAAATAACAAACTACACTTTTATCTTGACACTAGAATTCACAGCTTAAATCAATTGTTTTAATCGAAACAAAATTAGAAAAATGTCCATACCTTAACAGACTGTAAAATGCTGGTCCCTTGCTCAGTTTCAATTTTGCAATTATCACACTCAATATTTTGCACTTTTATACAGCCAGATCCTGATGCCTTAACATTCAAATCTAGAAGTAAAAACAAAAGAAAAAAGAAAAAAGTCAGTACTGAGCTCCAAAGCACTTTTGTACTCCCTGGAAACCAAATCCTCAGTTATATGGCTAATACTGCTGAATTCTTCAGAGGGCAGCTTGGTGTCTCCCTAAAAGTAAGAGGTCTTCCAAGGCAGCAGGATCCAATGCAGTGCCTGATTTTAGAACTAATTCTGTCTGTAGGCCTACATCACCTAAAGAGAAGTACCACAGACGGGAGGTAAAGGTGCTGAGACAGTAGTTCTTAGGTACTCACATCTCCTGTGGAATATGGAAGCTTCTCCCACCGAGAGAAGCCACACAAATGAAGAAAGATACAGGAGTGAGTAAAATGTCATCCTATGTCAGTCAAGTAAGCCTGGTCTCCTATTGTGGAAGATGTGAAAAACTGCCCCCAAACCTCCCCCTAACTGAAAGCATATCACAAGAGCAGCATGGATCAGGTATATGATCATGACTCAGGTTTCCAAATTCTACCTCTAGCCTTTCATACTTAAAAAATGAGATTGGCATGCAGTCAACGTGACAAGGTATTTGAAGTAGTTTTTAAAAGTGAGAACCACTTTTAAAAACCTAATGCTAAGAAGCATTATAGCCACAATCTTGTGGACAAATGAGTATATTTGGAGAAAGTGTGCAAAGTAAGTAAACAGGCATTCTCAACTGTAATTTAAGATGTGACCTTAGACATCTCTGCATAAAAACAAAAAAATTTAAAATGGTGATATTTAATATGTAATTCACAGATACATTAATGATTTTCTTTAGTCTAGACTACTGAAATAAACACCATGTTCCCCCAAAACAAGCAATTGAGGCCTAGTGCCACAATTTTAACAGTGACAGCATAAAATAAATTTCCACAGTTGCATGGCAATCTCTGCAAAGGTTTAAATTAGCAGCAATACACTGAGTTAAGTAGGAAAATACAGAAAGCCAACTTTATCCCACCCAGACACTGATCCAAATACACCTGCACAGATGCTTCCAAGTTGAGTATTGTGGTAATGCATAGGAAGATCTAAGGCACCATGATAACCATGAAGACAAGGAAATCGATTCTAAAGATACTCTACTCGTGCTAAGTAGAAAGTAAAGCAGACATAGGAGTAGCAATATTACTTTCACCTATTCACTGAAAGTAATACACTGGAGGAGCAAATATCAGTAAAAGCTAACTCTGTAACAGAGTCGAGGGGCTGTGGAACAGCAGCATAGACAGCAAGTTGGAAACAGGGCTTTGGCTTTAGCTAAAAGGAAGCAACAATGAGATTTGGAATCACCAGCTAAAGTAGAATCCATTTTCTTTTTTATTTTATTGTTTTATTATTATTTTTTTCTTTTGGTCTTTTTGAGACAGGGTCTCCCTGTAGCCCCAGCTGTCCTGGAACTCACTATGTAGACCAGGCTGGCCTTGAACTCACAGAGATCCACATGCCTCTGCCTCCCCAGTGCTGGGTGGAATTAAAGCCCTGCACCTCCAAGCCCGGCAATTAATTAAAAAAAAATTTTTTTTCTTATGTGCTGCTATAAATTTTGCTTGGCTATCCTTTAGCACCCAGCTTATTCTGCAGTATGGGCAAGCTCCACTAGCACCCTCAGATGACTACACTTTGAGGACAGAGTCTCTTATTCATGCAGGCTAAAGCATAAGGGCTGATTCTAGTGGGTTCAAATCAAAGACAGAAAAGCCATTTCAAATATACACTTCATGAAGCCATGGATTTTTTTTCTGTTTGTTCACCTACATTATTTACTTGGTTTCCTATACCTCAATTTGTTCACCTAAAACAGCGAGAATAAAAGCTTCAAAATGTGTTTTGCAAGTATTATTACTGAATTTTCCCAGGCACTCTTACTATGTGTGTTGCGTTAAAGCTTAATACTGGCAGAGAATTTACTTAGGGGGGAAAAGGGGGGAAATATTAGACTTGGTGCTAAGGAAAATCAAATACTTTTCTAGGTTAGATATGGAACATCTATCTATACAGAGCTGAATGGGGACAGAACCCCAAGATGTGAGTGATGTGGTACCACACCACTAAATGGATTATCAAGAAACCTCAACCTGAAAGATGAACCGCTTTGCTAAGGACAATGTGACAAGAAAGAACGTAAGGGGCTCCACAAAATGTTTGGCTTGAGGGGCTGGAGAGATGGCTCAGTGGTTAAAAGCACTGGCTGCTCTTGAAGAGGACCCGGGTTCTATTCCATCACCTACATGGTGGTCTAACAACCATCTGTCCGTAAGTTCAGTTCCAAGGGATTCGATGCTCTCTTCTGACTTCCGTGGGTACTGCACGACACAGGTGCACTTACATATATGCAGGCAATACACTCATACACATAAAAATAATAAAATATTTTTAAATGTTTGAATTATTACAACTTATGTTTCTTTTCGGTTTAAAATTTCTCTCCTAGATTGGGCGGTTAATTCGCAAACATTACTCAGGAACTCAAGAGGGGAGCAGAAGAAAATCGAGTTTCGGAAGAGGCCAACCAGGTTAGAAAGGGAGGTGGAAAGAGAACCCCTAAAAATTCAATTGGCCTCGCTCCACCTCATTTAAATCACAGGGCGTGCCCCGGACCCAAACCCGTCTTCACTTGCCAAACTTTAGCGGCGCGTCCACCTCCACCAGAGCTCTGGGGTCGATGTTGTCGGACAGGACGGCCATCTCCTGCAGATCCCGGTCGTACTCCACCCGCAGGCGGTCAAGGCCCCTTCGCCCGCGCCCCTCGCCGCACACCGCCACCCGCACGCGGTCGCCGTCGGGGAAGGCCAGCGGGTCCAGCGGCCTCACGACCAGGTGGCACGGGAGCCGCGCCCGCAGCCGCCCGAACGGGCTCACCCGCAGCGTCCACTCCTTCAGAGCCGGGAGCGCTGGGCCCGGGGTAGGGACTTCAGACGCTGATCCAGGCCGCTTGGCCCCACCAGAGCCGCTCAGCCCGGCCCGGGGAGCCCGGAGAGCGGCGCCCAGCCGGAGGCGGCTGAGCCCCCAGCCCAAGCTGCGGCCCAGCATGACGCGTCCTCCGCCAGGCCTCAGCACCTCAGCCGCGGGCTCGCTCGCCACGCTACCCGGACGTGCTGCCTTCTGTCAGCCCAGAGGGCAGCGTCCACACCGCTCGGCTGAGGAAGAACTTTGGTTCTCAATGGAAATCTCAGCCACAAAATAAACGCTAGGCAAATCCCAGTTTCAAAGCTTCAAGTAGAAACTCTGACCGGTCTGCTGGCCTATTCCCACCCCCCTTTCGTGCAGGCCGACGGGATTTGTAGTTCTAAAGGAGCAAGATATTGACGTTTCCTGCCTGCTTTGAAACTACATATCCCAGGAAGTAGTGCACTGGATAGACTGCGTGAAAAGAGCCGGTGTTAGACGTAGATGAGAAAGGCGTGCCCCCATTGCTTCAAGCCCATTGGCCACGGGGAAAAAAAAAAAAAAACTACAAGGAATCCAACGGACCAATGGAAAGAGCGGAAGGGACAAGCGCAGGGCGGAATGGTTACCTTGGATACCAAGGACGCGACTTGTTTCGACAGGGAGGAGCTTTGGCGAGAGACCCAGGAGGCCAAAACCCAAAGAGAAAAAGTGCCGGAAAAAGAATCAGGGCCAAGAGGTAAGAAACAACGTGTTTAAAGATGCGAATTAGGTGCAAAGTAGGAGTTAGAGCTACTAAAATATGGTTAGACCCAAATTCACTAAACTAGAGCTGCGTCCCCTGAGAATGAAAATCCCTTAGCATGAGAATCACTGTTACTTTTTTTTTTTTTTTTTTTTTTTTTTAAAGAGAACTCCCTCTTAGATAGTAAATACTACCTAAGAAGTCGAAAAAGCGTTAGAAAATACTGGCTCCTTCCTGGATCTTAGGTAAGTGATCTTAGGTCAGTCCCTAATGTCTTTGGGCTTTACTTTTTTGCTTGTAAAATGAAGACCATAATACTTTCCTTACCTTGCTTCAAAAGATAGTTACCAAGAACGAATGAGGTAATGGATGACAGTCCAGTGCTAAGGCCTACTAAATTGCAATTTAAGTACCTTTTTTTTTTTTTTTAAATTTTAGAGATAACATTGTTTCTAAGTTGTCAAGAAATTTTTGAGAAATTAGAATTTGTTTTTAGCACAGTATAGATCACTTTCACTACAAATGATCCTGAAGTTTAAAAATCCTCAAGGGCTAAAATAAGATCCTGGGGCTCTGTTTTACTTTTATGAGGACTGTAAGACTTGGGGAGAGGGAGGTCAGATTATTTTCCTGGCCCTTTGGGTTTATGTCACTAGGACCTGTTTCTTCAGTTTTAACATAATGATAGTTTGTACTAAGTAATTCTATAAGGCCTATTTTCCCCTTTATTATTCTGTGGGAAGTAAAAATAATGCAAAGTAGGGAGGAGAGAAAATTTATTCCCTCTTTACTTGACTGGTCTTCTCCCTTTCTCTACCTTCTACAAATACTTCTCTAAATTTTTTAAGTGTAGGTAGGCTTAATAAAATGCAAGTTTTAAGTCAAATGTGGTGGCACTGCCTGTAATCCCAGTGCTTGGAAAGCTGAAGTAGGAGAATCTCAAATTTGAGGCCAGCCTGTGTGAGAATGAGAACTCTGTCTCAAAAGAATAAATATAAAAGTGCCTGCAAAGATTAAAACCCTCAGCCCTTAAGTGGTAGAGAGACAGGTAGACTGGGGTAAAGTCCTCGCCAGTGCTCCTATTACTTCTTTAGTGAAGACCCATAGCAGTGGCAGTGTAGCAGGAGACACAGTCTAGAACTCAGGCCAGCAGCCTGAGAAGTCGCATTATCCTTAGGGACCTCCTTGACTCCGCAGCAAAAAGGACTTTCAGGATGAGCGAGTACGAAGGAAGGTTGGAGTTGATTAAAAAGGATTTTTAGGGCCTGGAGAGATGGCTCAGTGGTTAAGATCACTGACTGCTCTTGCAGAAGACGGGTTCGATTCCCAGCACCCACATGGTGGCTATGAACCGTCTTTAACTCCAGTTCCAGGGAATCCGAGGCCCTCTTGACCTCCGCAGCATTGCACAACACGGGTGCACTCACATACATTCAGGCAATACACTCATACACATAAAATAAAAATAATAAATAAAATATTTTTTTAAAAAAAGGATTTTTAAAGGTGTGGGCTTCTCAAAAGAGAATCTGCCCTTGGGTATCTTAGCAGAAGACACACACACACACACAATTTTGGTGTCTCTCAAGTTACATCTCAAAGAATTGCTAAGAAACTTTTGTAAAACTTTCCCCTTCTTTTTCAATAGATGAGATTATAGGGTAGGGCCAGGGATGCCTTCCAAGGAATTACAGTCTGGTAAGATAAAACCATGGGTCACAAGGGTTAAGACATGTTCTCTACTGTAAGTGGGATTTCTTGTGAGATTCCTAGAAAAGTGTAAGTTTATAGCTGGGAAAGAAGAAAGGCCATTTATGCTTTGATCTTCAGTGTGATTCATTGCTTTTTCAATGTTTTTATTTGAAAATATCTGTATAAAAGAAATACTGTCTTTATATTGGTGTCAACCTTCGGAGATAATGTAAACTGTTAGAATTCTTGATTCTCAGCTGGCCAAAAGGCTTCAACCAGACTCAGGAATGAGGCTCTCCTTTCTTTCCCATGTCGCCATAATTTTTCCCCTCTTTCTATCCTGCCCCAGGAGAATTGAAAATAGATTTTATGCTTAGCAAGTGTACACCATGAATAATGCCCCTGGCTTTGCATTTCGTATGGTCATAATTATCCAGATTATTCAGATTAATCTTCCAACTATTGTTTTTATGAAAACTCATAGGCAAACTTTTGAAATTTGAAAAAGGAACAGTTTTAAGCAAGTTGAGGATGCACTCAAATTTTCTGTGTAAGTGCCATTTTTAGGCTGAATGTGAATCCTCAATAAAATATTCTGTTTCTATGGTAATTTTTCCTTTCCTGAGAAAAATTAAATTAATGGAATTGGCAGCTGAGCCATAATTGTCTATGTGACACAATCATTATTTCATTACTTTCAAATAAAGAAGAGGAAGTAAAATTGAAAAATTACTTTCTGATTGTATGAGGTTGAAAACTGAGAATATATTGAAATCAATGTAAGATATTAAGGAGTTATTAACAAGTAATAATATAATAAGTATTGAATCTATCTGCATGTAAATAGTGACTAATAAATACTATACCTTCCATGTATGTGGCAATATAGTTTTCAAAACATACTCACATGCATCATCTCACAAAATGCTCTGTTTAAAAGGATAACTATTACCCTACCCAAATAATACAGGAGAAAACAGATTTAGAAGTATAAGATGAAGAAATTATGACCCAGAATTGTGGTTTTGGGAATATAAGCACAAATTATGAATGTTCAAGGACTTTTGTCTTATAGGGCTACTTGTAATTGGAAATAATTTAATAATCTAAATGTGGGGCTGGAGAGATGGCTTAGCAGTTAAGAACACTGGTTGTTCTTACAGAAGACCCAGGTTTGATTCCCAGCACCCACATAGCAGCTAACAACTGTCTGTAACTGCAGTCCCAGGGAATCTGACAGCCTCCTCTAACTTCCACAGGCATTGCAGGATATGGGTGCACTTACCTGCATATAGGCAGTACATGCATACACATAAAATAAAAATAATGAATAGAATTTTTTAAAAAGTTAAAAAAAATCTAAATGTCCTCAATAAGAGAGTAATGTTTGAATTAACTATACATTTGGAATATTATGCAGTAATTTAAAAGTTGTACTTTGGAGATGAGCAAATCATATGGGGAATAATCCATAATACAATATTGGTTAAAAAGAGTAAATACAAAACTTTATATGTAATTCTATCTCAATTCAGTAATAACAATAATAATTTAATATAGTGCATAGAAACAATTCCAGAAAGATGTGCCTCACTTTATAATTGTAGTTATCTCAGGGCTGAAGAGTTGGCTCAGCAGTTAGAAACACTGACTGCTCTTACAAAGGATCAGGGTTCAAGTCTCAGCACTCACATGGCAGCTAACACCTGTCCTAACTCCAGTTCCAGGAGATCTGACACCCTCTTCTGACCTCCCTGGGCATTGTATGACATGGGTGCACTTATATACGACCAGGCAATACACTTACACACATAAAATCAAAATAGTAAATAGGCCTCACTCACCCTCCCATCTCCTCTACAGGTCTCGCCTCCTAGCCCGGGTCCTGTCCCATTCCTTGTCTTGGCGCCCCATACACCTGGGGAACCACCACTGCTTCCCGATTCTTTGCATCCAAAGTAACTCAATTCCTTCTCAGGTCCCCAGGGGCGCTCTGGGCCTCTCCCGGCCCTCAACTTCCCCTGCCTCCCTGGGTCTAAACAACCCACCAGCCTCTTTCCTGGACACCAGGGCTGACCGTTCTCTTCCTGGTCCTTTGCATCCAAACCAACCCAGCTCCACGGTGGAGTCCCCAGGGGCCCTTGGAGCCACCTCCCACCCCCATCTTCCTTTGCATCTCTGGGTGGCATGGCCACCAGCTGCCCTAGACCCACATCTTTCTTGGGCCAGGCTTCCAGGCCAGTCCAACCCCCAAATTCCTGAGTCCAAAATCTATCCTGGAGGGATACAGACCTTAGGAGAAAGCCTGAGAGCATCTAATCCTCATCTGACTTGGGCCTCTATGGGAGCTCCTGAAGTCAAAAGCAATCTGGCCACTCCAATATAAAATCAAAAGAGAGAACCGGAACCTCACAGGAATCAGAAACTACAAAAGAAATTCACATGTCAAAATCACAGAGAAAAAATAATAACATGAAAAACCAAAATAACATATCCCCACCAAATACCAATAGTCCTCTAGAGGAGTACAATGAGAAACCCCTAGAGATAATGCAAGATATGGAACTCAAAAGAACAATTATAAACATTATAAAAGAATTCAGTGAATTTAAAGAACACACAAACAAAGAAATCAAAGAACTGAAGGAAGATAGGGATAAACTTCTGAATGAATTCAGAAAAAGTTAGAAATATTGAGGACTACTCAGGCTGAAATAAAGAAGGAAGTGAAACACTCAGTAAGCAAATTAGAAAAGACAGGAGAAAGTCGCACCAATAGGATGAATGAAATAGAAAACTTAGTATCAAGACTGGAAGATAAAGTGGACAAACTAAACCACTCAAGCAAAGATTATGAAAAATGTAAGAAATCACAAGAATGGAACATGCAGGAATTGTGTGACACCATAAAAAGACCAAACTTACAAATCATAGACATACAGGAAGGAGAAGAATCCCAAGATAATGGAATGGACCAGATCTTCAACAGAATTGTGCGAGAAAATTTCCCAAAATTAAAGAAAGACATGCCCATACCAATACAAGAAGCATACAAAACACCAAACAGACAGGACCAGAAAAGAAACTCTCCACAGCACATCATAGTAAAAACTAAGCATACAGAACAAAGAGACAATACTGAAAGCTGCAAAAGAGAAACAAGTCACATATAAAGGAAAACCCATTAGGATTACAGCTGACTTTTCAGTGCAAACTATGAAAGCCAGAAGAGCTTGGACCAAAGTATTCCCAGTTTTAAATCACCACAGATGCCAACCCAGATTACTATAGCCAGCCAAAAT